TGCCAACATTACAATCGAAAATTTAAAAAAAAAAAAACTCATTTAATTTATTCTGATTTTTCTGCAGCTTGTTTTGCTCTTTGAGCTCTTTTTTCTTTTACGTAAGGACCGTAAATATAAAAATTTGAACAAATTACAATACAAAATATTACTGCTTTATTTGCGGTGCTCATATTTCGAAACATTTTACTTAAATTATATTAGTATTATACAGTCGATTGAAAAAAAAACCACTTTTAAATAATTATTATTAGCAGACGACAAAAAAAAAAAAAAAGATTTTTATTCTATGACTTTTTTATGTGCGGCCATTTCTCCTAAGAAAAATAAATTTATTTTGATTTAAAATAAACAATTTAAATATTTTTTTTACCTTTCATAATTTTATTTTTAATATATATTTCTTTTTTTTGGCTTTTAATTTTAAATTTACTTACTTGAATTTCATGTAGTAGTAAAAACATCACAATTGTAGAGACAAATTAACAATAGTAAAGCTATATTAGGCATATAAATCATTTAATAGGAAATCAATTATTTTGATTAAATGTTATAAATTTAGATTTTCAAACTCCTGGTTTACTTTAGATGTGAAAATTAATTATATCCCAACTAAATTAGTTAGTCAATTAAATTCTTAGTTCGATAGTTAGGGAAAAATTTTGAATTGCTAACTTTTCTATTGAATACAATGAAAATCTTATATAAAAAAGATCATTTAATGATATAAAAAGTAAAATATTAACTGTATTTAATTTATATTGGATGTATAAATAACTATATCATATATATTTCAATTTACAAAGTTATTTCGATTTTAAGTTTTCATGAATTGAAGTAACTCGACATAGAATAACTTAGTAAATTCCAGAAATAATAAACATTATTTTCTATCTTGTTAAATTTAGAAAAATAACACTTTTTTTAATTATTTTTTTCCATTCAAATATTAATTATTATTCACTTTTAGGTTTTAAATTAACTGTTTCATGTAAGTTCGAAAAAAATTTTATACCATTAATTTGTCACATTTGAAACTCCATTATATCAATATCATTACAGTTTTAATGACAAAATATACAAATTAACTGTATATTAGGAATGTTTATTACTTATGGATTAACATTATTTTTTCCAAAAAATATTATGGAGAAAAGACGAAAATATTTAAGAACCATAAAGTTATATTAAATTAATTACTGGTTTACATTACAGAAATCATTTTTTACAATATAGTCTGTAAAAGATAATTATTAATGAAATATTATTAAAAATTTAGCAAAAAAAAAAAAAAAAAAAGTTTTTTTCTAATTGAAAATACCACATTCTAAAGCATGAAAATTACTTATTTATTTGTATCTATTATAAAATGGAATATGTTTAACAATGAATTTTAAATCTGTGACATAAATTGCAGCTAATAATGCAGAAGCACCATATATTGCTACACTTGGCATCCTAAAACAAAAAATAATTTATATTAATATTGACATAAAGTTTAGACATAAAATTAACGAGTAAATATTATTTTTTTACATTGCTAAAAACATTTCAAAATACTCTTAAGTTTAATTCCACTTTTAAAATATATTATAATTAATTTTATTTAAAATTTTACTAAAATACAGTAAATGGAATGCAATCATAATTTTATAAAATTTCAAAATGTTATTTAAGTTTTTATTATTAGTAAAACATTTCATATTTAATGACCTATACTTAAAGCATCAAAAAAATTAAAAAAATGAATTTCATACTTACCAACAGTTATACTGTTCCATTCGCTTTGGTGTGAAAAAACGTGCAATCTTCATTTTAAAAAATAGTAAATTCTTTTTTTTTATTAAATAATATGCTACTGAATATATCTAAAAGTGATAGCAGACGACACTTTTAAATGATTTTTTTTTTAAATTCCATAGAATAAAACAAGAAAAATATACAAATGTAACTGTAAACGTAAAAATTTGATTTGATGTCTATGGTTTTCAGGGCGTATTGTTGTTGTTGTTGTTGTTAATTTTAACTTACTAACCTTTAAATTTAGATTTTAAATATTTCTTAAAAATTAAAAAACTCACCCTTTACCTTTTTCTTTTTTAAAATAAAAAACAAGTTCAGCAAAAAGTTAAAATTTAAAAAAAAAGAATATTCAGAATTAATAATTTAAAATAATAAAAAACAATAAAAATTTCAAATATAAATAATTTCAAAATGGCGTTTATGATTTTAAATTGAAAAAAAAAAAAAAAAGAAAAAGATTATACAAAACAAAATGAATAATATGATTATAAAATAATATTTGATTATATATCTTTTTAATTTCACTTTAAACAATTTTATTTAAATATTAATTTTTAAAAAAATATATTGATAATTATTATTAAAAAAATTAATGAATAATTGTTAACATTTAAAAATACAATAAAGTGACATTTTTAAGGTTGTTTTAAAAATAAAACAAAAAATGATATTAATTAAAAAAATTATAATTAAAAGTCAAGGAAGCCACTATCAGACTTTATAAGATTATTTTTATTGATTTTATTTATTAAATAATTAAGAAATGCAAATATTATTTTGTTTTTTAATTTTTACAAAAAAAAAACAGTAAAAGCTGTACTTTTCATTTATTTGTGTAATTTTTTTTATTAATTATCATAATTTATATATTTTTTTAAAAGTATTTAAACATGATTACTAAATACAGTTGTTGATCAATTTTCCAAAACAAAAAATTTTCTTTTAAACAATTTAAAATTAACAAAAAAAAAAAAAAAAAAAAGAAAAATTAACATAGCGTAACATTTTACCCTATTAATTCTTTTCATCTTTTTCTTTTAATTTAAAAGTTATTATTATCATCATTATTTTTTTTAAATGAAAGAAAACCTTTCATAGTCATTTACCTTTATCGTCATTATCCATTAAACAAAAAAAAGAAAGAAAAAATTATAATAAAACTTTATTAAAAAGATGTTAAAATTATTTCCATAAGAATTAACACAAAAGTAAAAAAAAAGTTGCCCAAAAAATGATAATGATAATAATAAAAAAAGCCAAAATAATCAAAGTAATTAAAAATTAATAAAAAAACAAACAAACAAACGATACAACTTTTTCAAAACTTAATAAAAAAAATGGTTCAATGAACACTTTGTTTTCCTTTTTTAAAGAAAATAATAATAATAAATAAATTTGTTTAAAATATACATTAAAATAAGCAAATTAATAAGTTAAAGTAATAATAATAATAATATTACAATTTGACATTATTTTTTAAATAAATGCTGACTTTGCTTACATAAACAAGAGATTACAAACAAAAAAAAGAAAATTATTATTATTATTATTAAAACCGCATCGGATTTAAAAAAAATTCATTTGTTATCAACAAGAAGATAATAGAAAAGATGAGAAGAAAAAAAAAAAAAGAAGAAGAACAAGGATAGAGAGATTTAAAAATAATGCCAAAGATTGTATGTGTACAAAAGTTTAAAATGTATCACGGGAATAAAAAAAAAAAAAAAAAGGAAAATTTCACCGTGGAAAATCATAAGAAGAATTTCGATATTTGTTTATTTCATTCGTTTCACCCTAGTTTTCAACCCTCTAATTCCACGATATTTTTTTAGTATACACATGCAAAAAAAAGATTGACATAAAC